CAAATAGGAATTTCAATTTCTTCTCACTGAACGAACTTTGTGGTTTGCACGAAAATTAGCGAGGATGACGTCAAAGTGTTCACAGGCACAGTTCATTTCTTTGTGATGGAATAATTCAATCCTTGAACCATTTCAAATGAATTACGAACTTCCTAATCTAGTAGTAACACACGTGGTGTATCTCTTGTCACCATACCGTGATATTTGTTAAACAAACGAATGGAATCCGAAGGAACTTATTTCTTACTTCTTGCACTCAGTGCTCTGTCAGTCTTGAAAAATATCGATGACGAATGATAGTCTCACCTCCTTCTCCGGTATCAACTTTCGTCGTGATGACTCCGTCGGCGCGTTAAGAGCCTTTGCCGAAGAAAAGGGGGCGATACTTAATATCCATAGCACTACATCAGGTATCCCATTCAAGAATCAAATTCTTTGTCGTCACGAACCCGTGAACTTCACCGCTATGCATGCTGGACGCATCACACGGTAGTGCTGATTAAGCAGTACTGTCATCACATCTTTGTCATCTGATAAGTTACGGAGTTGGCCCTTCTACGTAAGACTTACTGTTGCCTACTTTCACAGGATCTAGCGCAGAAGACCGAAAAACACCAGACACAAGTTTACAATCACAGTCGTTACTATCGTCCTGGTAAAGGTGACAACGGCGTACCCTCGCCCACTTTTAAGGTCGGTGTTGTTTGTCTCATCTTATGATGCGGCTCACTGCCGCCCTAAACTTTCGCTTATGCCCAGAACACTCAGTATGATCATTGCCCATGCTACCGCAGCTCCGCACCCTCGTAAAATGCACAATAGCTTTCTTGCAACGGTGGATTCATGCCATCTCAAAACTTTACCAGGACATTAGAGCGTGATTTTTTTTTATTTCGGTTAAGCTATGGTTCATGGTTTCAAGCCACGCCATACCTATGAGGGGTTTTATCTTGAATTCAGGTCCAAGACAAGACACCATCACAATGTTTTTTCATCTCAAAGGAATGTCAACAATATCGGTACATCTCAGTCGCTGTTTTCACAGGTATCGTATCCGTATTTGGCAGCTCCAATGCCTTCGCGTGCTTCGTACCTATCATGAACCGTCGTACACACAGTTCGCTTTGCTGGGCGGTGCTGAAACCAACCACATCTGAAGTTTATAAATCACCTTGCCAGAAATACCTCTAAATACAGCCCATAAATTTACGTTCTCGTATTCTGGTGCGCGGACTTCTAACTTGACACCGCTTGCATGTCACGCTGTTGCTGCATCGGGAGAATGGCCAAATTTAAGCCTTTCATACCCAGAGAGAGGTCTCTTCGTCCTTGTGATCAGTGAGCTGGACGCTTTACATTGTTGGCCTGACGGTGGAAGGTGGTTGTGTTTTATTGATGATTGGCTTGAAGGTAACGTGCACAATTTTGTAGCTGTTTAACGCCCCCCACGTTAGCGAATATCTCTTCCAGGCCTTCGGTCATCAATACTGTTGCCTCACATCAAGCTAAAGACGTGAGCATATTAAGCTTGCCAAGTTGTTCTAGCAGCAGAAATGAAACTGCTTGTGACGCATCCTAACGAAAACTAATTTTCCTCACTGCTCGGTTGTCTAATTGACTAATTGCTAGTAAGTGCAACAGCTTGCTGTGTACTTTGTACATAGAGAATTTTGACTTAAGTGGTTGTTGAGTTTCTGCGATTCGTCAACAATTCCTACCGACACTTTGGTACCTCTAAATCTTGCGCAGTGTTCGTACCTGTTACAGTAAAATTAGCTGCTATTTGAACGTGAAATATCTGTTGAATCACCCATGTTCATTAGGGTGTGCTCTATCACAGAGAAAGATGATCAGTGGTTCATCCTGAGGATTCCAAATGACAGAACTGATTTTTACTTTCCTTGACAATTTTGAGAATTCTATTTTAATTTGTACGAAAATTGTATCCTTTGACACGATCATTTACTTAGTTGTCAAACTCCAACTCTATACAATTTGAGTAGCTAGTTCAGCTTCTAGAGTAGATGCCTCTAATACATCTTCAGGACCAACAAGTAGGTCATCCATACTTGACTGAGCTTCTGCTAGCATCGCCTCAAATTCCTTTCCGATACTACGCTGCTGAGAAGGTGAAGCTGCGTCAATCTGGGAACCTTCGTCAGAAAAAAGGGTTTCGCTTGAAAGCGCTCGCTTTCGTTGAATATCAAGGGTAGGTGACAAAGATCCTGCGCGGTTTGGCTCCAAATAATACCCCTCAGGCTTTACAGGCAGAGATTTGACGCGTTCACGCGCAAATAGCAGCGAGCATAATTCTTTTAGAATCTCATCGAGAAGCACGTAGCCAGCAAACAAACGCGTTTCGGCTTCGTGATCGTCAAGCAAAGCCAAGTTGTCTTCGTCCACAAGTTTTTTGCGCACTTCTTGAAGCTGTGCCGTGCCATTCGGTAGTCTATTTAAACGACGCAAAGCATCAGCAAAAACTTCCTCAAGAATACTGCGCAGACTGTGACCAGCAGGATAAGCATCATCCAAATCAAAAATCACATTGGAACATAGAGGCTTTTGAGCAAGAGCATAAATGAGGCCAGACAATGCCACGTTCTCTTGAAAGGAATTTTCCAGCAATCGTTCCACACGATTCAGGGCAATTCGCAAAAAGAGCGGCATGCATTCGTCGTTGCTTTCATCAATTGATCGCTGCAAGACTTGCGGCTGTGATCGTTGTCGATGTCCAACCGGTTCAGCTGGTGAGAAAGACGGCAAGCAGATGCTAAGATACACGTCGCGCAATGGCTTCATTGGATGACGAGTAGCAGAAGTTCGACTGAACGAACCTTTCGAGGGTGATGCTGCATTCGGTGCAAAAGTAGCAGGGGATTGTGACAAGCTATCGGTGACACTTGGTGCTACAACTGTTGTCTGAGTTGCCGCTAATTCTTCTTGAGAGTCACCAGTCTCATCATCGACGTCACTGAGTTCTTCAGGGCCTTGTTGACAAGCAGCATACTCAGCGTCAGCTATATACGAAAGTAGTGACAACACTTGGTCTTCCTGGTCGTCTGCTGCTGGAAAGTCTTCCGGAACATCTTCAGGCCCCGCAAAAGCGCGAATCTTCCATAAATGAACATTTGACGCTACTGAAGAGTCAGGAAACCTTGATGCAAACCAAATGGCACCATTAGCAGGCGTAGTTGGGCTCTGTACTATGGATCTTGTGAGTTGTTGCTTTCCCGAAGTGGTACCACCGTCAGTGTCAGCATTTTTCTCACACTTATTGATATTGCCTAGCAAAATACTGTCCGCATACTCATCCTGAAGCTCCAAAACACATGTGAACAACTCAATTGTGGCGATACAAAGGGAGCTTGAGAGTGAGTCCATGTGGCGAAGCAACTCAAACGGCAACTGCTGGGCTGCAGAAGACTCACCGATCGGCGTTTCTGGTTCAGCTGCAGCATGCTCAGTTATTAACGAATTGAATCGTCTCACAACCGGTGCGCGCTCAAGTAGAAATTGTAGATAAATAAGAAGGAGTGGATTCGCTCGCGTGTCGCGTCCACAGGCTGTCAGCTCTTCCAAAATGATGCGCGCATATAGAGTAGCAGCACAAGCAGCAGCCTCCGATGTGTGTAGAAGCCCTTCAACCAACGGACCTTCCAAAAAGCGAGTCCTAAATTGATCCAGTAGCTCATCTGCTATCGAGTGATGCTGCAGATCACCAGTAACTTCATCCACTTCCTCTAATTCATAGCGTGCCACCATGGCAAGTGTGCAACAAAAGCGCAACCTGACTGCAAGAAAACTCAGGTCTAGTTCCATAGTTGCATCAGCATCCGTCGAGCTAACGGAAACAGATGACTTCGATGTTGATGCTAATGTCTTTGGTAAAGCATCAAACGCTGAAATTACGCCATTAACTGCGTAGTGGCAGAATGGAGTGAGCTGCAAAACGAAGCGACACAAGGCCTTGTCGTGTACTGCTGCGGCAATTACCAGAGCCTCACGACACTTTTCGCCAATTTTTCCTACTGCATACATATGTGGAAGGAGTCCAGTGAAGAGAATCAATTCTGGTACTTCACTTTGCGTGTGGTGGTTGTGATGATGTAGAAATGGATCATCACTTGATGACTCAAGTCGATTGCTGCTATTATTTGTATTGGACGCCATGTCGGTCCTACGAATCATGAGTCGATCCGCATGTAAAAAAAAAAATTCTGTTTGCACAGGATCCCCACGCAGCTTTTTCCAGAGAATATTAAGTAGACTGATGAGGTATTTGCGCACTGTAGGATCCTCTACTTCTTTGCGTGCAGCCGCCTGAATAAGTGCCACTACTGCCACGTGCACTTCACGCGTGGGAAGAATGGGATAACTCACGCGACTGAGCAAGGCTCCTACGAACTGCATGGCCAACGACATGATGCCACAAGGCTGATCTCGTCTCCCCACCTCACACAAGTGCGGAATGATCTGCTTTTCTAGTAAATACTCAAGGCACTCGTGTGATGCGTGCTCAAGTCGCTCTGGAGAAAGCGGCGTTTGTGACTGCGCACGTGAGCGAGAGCGCGTCCGGGACTCGACATTAGCTGCGTCTTCTGCAGCCGCCTTTGGACGCGCCATGACCAATTCCCACCGATCTGAATTGTTTTCTTCTTCATAGATAAGCAGCACAAGCTTGAGCAACGAGTCTCGTGTATGACTTTCGAGTAGCAGACGTCGCTGCTCCGCCGGCTCCAGATCACGTGATAGCACTGACTCGAGGAAGCGCGCCACAGTTGTCCAGCGATGCTGAAATTCATCTACACGTGACTCGTACAGAGTGGGTGCAACCATATCTGCAGCCTGTGCCAGAGCATCTGAGGCCCGCGCCGCTACTTGACGCAACTTGGAGCGCAACCAACTCATCGTTCCTTGATGCGGAAGTGAGGGAACAAAAACTAAAAGTGTAGTGGCAAACGCAATTAATGCTCGATTTGCTGATACATTTACTTCAAAATCTGATATTGGGGGTGATTGAAGTTGGTGTAAATGTAAAAACTCAGAGGAACCAAAGCATTGGTAATAATCACGACGAGGAGGTCCATGGCACTTGTGGGCTATCAGCTCACGTTAAGCATTGCTGATGGTTTGTCATTGAATGTAGTGCAACGGGTTTGCCATGCAATTTCGAGGAAGAATCTTTGACTTTTTGAGTCCGCGTTAACTAACGCACATAGGTTACATTCATGCCCTACCAGGAGCGAAACCAAGAGCCTCTAAGGAAACCAACGCTGCCAGTTTTACTCTGCTATAGTATAGCAAAATTGCTATACTAAGAGCGAAGGTCCTGCTTAAAGTGATCCTGAATATATCTGCTTCTCTATCCGAATAGAGCTCTATGCAATCGATAGCATCCTCTACACGGAGTCTAATTGCACTGTTTAATAATGGATATTTTATGATCGACCATCATCTGGGTTGTCGAGGAGAATATACAATGGGTACATACATACCTTACAATACGGATAGATTAATACCTAATCGAACGTTTTATTAGCTGTCTGTCTTTTTTTGACCGCAACTAGCATATAGACCGTTATTGTGGCCATTTTTAATGCACACAATTACACAATCAATAATTTCGTACGAATATGCAAAATATAATATTGCACAATTATACAAATCTCGCACAGCACTTTTGATTGATTGAGAATTGTTATACGAAATCTTTTGAATAAGATGATGGGACAAGGTATAAGGAGGGGTCCGTACTAAACGTGGGTTGCTAGCCACACGTCAAGTAAACAGAATGTCATCCTACGAGATATGGTATATAGCATCAGTTGTTATCATTTAACTATATATATATATATATCACTCCTGGAAGGAGAGTAAACTAGATGACCGGTTGCTTGAATAGCTTCTGCTATCGATTTTGTTGGGGCGTTCTAGCCCAATCATGGGTTCATGTCTTCGGTAGGTCCCTGAGAAATGAGGGGATTGACAGTTCGAGGACCAAAATTGCGGGAAGTGCTTACATGAAAGACCTACTAGCTACAAAAAACGGACTACTATAAGCAAAAACCGCGACAAGCGTCGATGAAAATCTTAATGCCACCCACCTCGAGATCGCTATCGCTGAGCATCTGGTCCTTGTAGCACAGACATACTAAACTCTGTTTTGACAATATGTGCTTAGAAGACCTGAGATTCCGCCATCGCTTAGAGCACAACAGCGCGTGACGGCTGAGGTGATTCGGAAAAAAGTCTACGCGCAAAAAATAAAACTAACGGGCAATATTTTTGTGGAACGGTTGTCTCAGCAGGGGGTATGTAATATGTCGCAAAAGTCAGCACTGTCAGACCGGATGTACCGTGTGCACTAGAAATTTCTGTACATTTGCTGAAACAAGCAAGTTTCAGAGAACTATTTATCCCACTATACCGCAATGGTGGCAGACCCTTCTCTGTGACGACGCTCCATGAACTTTTTGTTGTGATCATCATCGCTGGGTTTGCAAATGTTAAATTTGTTGTATAAAAATTGATCTTGGTTGTGATATATCGACGGTTGAACTTCCAAAAAGTTCGTCCAACGATTTTCTTGGCGGTGTAGCGTAGAATTTTTGTAGGCGCAGGGCGATCGACTGGGAATGGTAGGAGCTTCTACACCACAAAGCGGTCGTGGTCGAAGGGATGTGCCCCTAAAAGGAGAGACCGTCATTCAGAGATGAGACTAGAAGACCAGGTGATTTGATCGTATTGACGGTGGACCAGCTTGCTGACATGTTGACCATGGCTCTGGGATCAAGCGGCATCAAAATCAACGTTCGGCGTTTAGTAACGCTGTAAACCCTAATTGAATCATGAGCGTCGTGATATTATCTACAACGCGCGACTATCAAAAACAGTAGGCACTACGCGAAGGCATTAGACTTGTCAACTATGGATACGATATCCGTGCGCAACCTTCTTCGTCCTGACGTATCAATCCTACCGTCCGCGGGATTAAATTATATCGTGAAGCCAGATCAATGATAAGACAATGTTCTACGCTGTCATAGTGTCCGAACCTCACCCAACGGTCTACATAATCGTAGACATATTACTGTCGCAAGTGTGCCACATTTTTTTCGTAGAGGCTTTAATAAATCACACCCTACCTCTTTAAGAAATCAGATAAGTGCTTGGTGCAGACATGAAACAGCTTTAGAAAATGACAATGTCTTGTCAAAATTCTTGTTTGGAATGATATTACTCACTGCTTTGAAAGAGGTAGGAAGGCAAAAACGCCGGTGAGCCGAATTCTCGGGATGGGACAGAAGCAGACGATTATAGAATAGAAGATCTCTTTGTTGAGACGGTAAGGAACGACAATATGTTAACGTCCCTCAGTGTATTGCTGATGCGACTAGTAAGCTAGTATGCTCAGTGTACCGATGGTGATGGGTAGCGTAACTGGGCATCACAGTCTTTCATCACCATAGACGGTGATGTCAACAGGCGACTGCATGGCGCAAGTCAAAGAACCAGAACCTATATTTGAAATGGATGTGTTATCCTCGTCATAATTTACTGGTATGCAGAGTCACCACAACCTCAAGACGCGCCTCACATTCGCACGGTGGAGCTCCACAGGTAAGCGGTGAGAAAGTTAAAAATCGTACACGGTGTAGTTTAGGCAGTCCTAGGGTTCGTAAGTCTCCTCCAATAAACTTTTAATTAAGCTGGAAGGATTGTGTATGCAAGACATTTCAATACAAAGATCCCACCAAAATGGTAATGTACTTTTCAGCACTGGTCGGTAATGGAGAAAGATCTGAGCTCATCTCCCCTATGGACGAATCCGTTTTGATAGTATTGAACATAAAGACTGGACAGCCGCATGCAAAGAAAGACATGCAACCCTTTATCCTTTTATGAATGAATATCGAAACGTCATGATAAGAAACCCACAACGCGTGTTTGCCTCGAAAAGGGAAGTTCGTCACGAATTTTATTCAATTCAAATAGTGTGCAACACGGCAGTAGCGCTTACTTTAAGAACTGTGCGACCTCATTGACGCCTTCTTTCGTGATAAAAAAAATAACTGGATGAGATAGTTTATACCCCCCTCGCTCAGTGCCAATATTTTGTGTCCGAAACGTTGACAGCAGGTGGCGAAAAATGCATGCTTATGATAAGTTACATATATCCGTGATTTCAACGAGACGCCATCTACTGCAGAACATCGTTTAATGCCTTGATCCGATGATGAATGTCATCAAATTTGTATTGGCAACAGCGAAATTCATTTCTCTGTTATGAGACTTTTGAGCAAGTTGATCTGGAAATGGCTGATTACACCACTAGGACGGACTGCTTACGCAAGAGCGATGTTCGCTCTTCTAGTGACAAAAGATGTTTGGGTCACATGTAGGCTAAGCACAAATCTGTGGAAAATCGGTTGTGGAGTGCCAAATCAAACACTTGCGAACAGTGCTCAAGAGAAGACTAGTAAATTAGCTATTTGTCAAAACCGGCAAGTGTGTCTTGGGCGTTGACAGAATTTAAAGTTGCATCTTCAAAAATCTGGTTTGCGAATGTATCCCACAACGATGAAGTCGATTGCATATTCGTCAGCGTCTCTGTATTTAGTGAACCAAAGGAAGTGGATCGGCATGGCCAACTACGTGAATAAATATTGTGCAAACTATTCCTGCATGGTGCAACCGCTCGTCAATCTTCTTTTAAATATGTCAAATTGCGGCAGAAGAGGTGATCTCAAAGTGGTATCGACAAGCCTCATGTGCGCATCGATTTTGACACTTACGAACCCAAACTTCCCATTCTATGTCGTCTGTAAAGCTTCATCCTTTGACATAGGCTTTTTTATACTCCGAGCAGATATCAATAGGTGAGCGCATATTTTCATTTGAGTATCACAATGTTTAAACGGTAGAGGATAACTACTCTGATGGCGATTAGGGGAAACCTGCAAGAAACTATGCCCTCGTCAAGCTAAGTGTGCATTTACTTGCCCTCGCTGTTTGCTATTTATGCAGATAACACATATAGTTAATGTGGTGGTAAACGCGTTTTCGCGTTGTCACGACAAATGAGCTGTCACATATTGCGGAGATGACGTCGCGCATTGATGTGGTGATATGAACAGTGTATAAGTCAGCTGTCATATGTACTGTATTACTGAAAGCGTTGTCAATCAAGGGACTTTGTTATGTAGATTTATCAAAGCGCTCGGTTGAGAGTATCCATCACTATTTCGTTTCACAAAACTTACTGTGTTACACTAGTGAACCACATTACACCCAACGTATAGTGCGGTTTCAGGATAAGGACCTCAGGTACAGAATTCTGTTCGAGGTGCATGCTACTGACCACATTGGGGGAGAAAAAGCATATTGCTCAGTGGGCGTTATGTAATAATGACCCAGCTTTTAACACTCGGTAAGGGCACGTGTGCTCACGTGTAAAACGTGGAAGTAGGATATACCCTCGCCGCACGCGGCGACCAGCCTTTCACCTTCGCAGTGTGCTGATAGTCTACAAGTATAAATTTATATTTCGTGCCTTAGAAGATGTGCCCGGTAATACCGGTCATGTGACTCCTTGTGGTTGATCTAAGTAAGATGTCACATTGCGTTGTTGGCAGTAAACAATGTAACCGGTAATCATACAGCCAAGATGTACCTCGACAAAGAATTTTGCCAACCTAGCTTCCGGTACAGCAAAGCATCGGCAAACATTCCTCATGGTGCGCAGCACAAAACTAGATACGTTAACCACCGACATTCGCAGACGAATCGTCAGGTAGAAAGAGCTTATCGCTTCGTGAGAAAGCGCTTGCGCTGAGCGACCATTGTTCTGGAGAAAGTACCTCACTCGTTAAGTATGCGTTAAATAACGCAGTACTGCCTTTACAGACCTTATCCTATTTGCATAAGCTCTCGTGTGTCTTTGACGCACTTCCTTGTGGCTCCACTGTAGTTAGACAGCGAGGATAGTTCTTAGGTGCCGCTGCACTCATAGCTCAAAGAGCTCTTAATCATCTGTAGCGTTTCGCCAGAGAGACACAGGAATAGTCCGCATAGCAGGTAAAGGAGCGCCCCCTCTTTGAGCGCGAAGTTGGGCGCGGTATTGCTGGTCGTGGAAGCGACCGTGAAGTGCTTTGAAAATCTGTGGAAGGTCTTGATCGGCTCCAGGTCGTCGGGTTAATATGCACGACGCTCCACGATGAAAGGGGGTCAGCTGTATGCTGAGGCACTGGAGGTGCGTCTGAGTGATATCTTTAGTGTTCAGTGCTCTATAAATTAGGCGGAAGAGGTGGGCGGTTCGTTCAACGAAGAGAACAGCGTCTGTTCCACGAGGGCAGTACGTGGTGTGAGAAATGAAAGCTCAATGAGTGCACCAGAGGATGGATCTCTGTTGTGTTGAAAGAGAAAGCTAGGAATTGCTTAGATACTGATCAGCATCGTAGCACCCGCAGATGGTTCGTATTACCTTGTGTGCCCCTATTTTTCTCGACTGCGATGTACGAAGGGTCGGGATCCCTTGCAAGGGCGTACAAACGGGAAATTGTCAAATATCGGTAGGCGCAGGGCGACCTACTCAGAAATACATGCTCTCTATTTCCTTCTTGAGTTCGTGATTATTTAAACAAAGCCTTCGAAAAATTATTTTTGCTGCAAGAGGTGCGAGTCACAGCTCAGGTTTGATGATTGTCGATATCAACTTTCCGAGTTTCGTGAAGATATAACATGCCCTGAAGGTCCCGAATAATTTAGTAGCATCGTGCAATTAGCAACTGTCAAATCTGTAGATAGTACGCGGAGGTACCTAAGATGCATAACATGGACCTATTATGCGTGAGCCTCGCGACGGAGAGTGACAAATACCAAGAAATTACGTTCAAAGTTAAGTTCTAGGACCTCGACGGTTTGGAAAATAGTCTAGTCTTGGATCGGATCTCGAGATACGACATATTCAAGATATAGTTTGGCTGGAATGCCACGGGCCAATAGTTGATTGGAAATCGAGAAGCTTATATTACAGACGTGGGTAGTTGTTGTCCTATCTTAGATGACGGAATAGGCAGTGCGCCGCAGTCTCAGGGTGATCCAAAATAAAGCAAATGTGAATGCCAGTTTTCAAAGTGAATTGCTGTTGAGACGGGGGTGGCGACTATATGTCGTGGCATCCAGAATGCATCTCTTACGATTCAGAACAGCCGCAGTTGGTGCCCCCTGTAACAGACTAGTAGACTTCGAAAAACGAATGAGAGTCGCAGTCTGGCGTGCCAAAATTGGTGAGGTTGATGGGCAACTGTAAGTCACGAGAAGAAAAGCTAGGTCTTAGGGTAATTTTAAAATTGAATGACTGAGCCATGTCATTGTTCAATGAGATGGGCGCTGATGAAAACAAAAAGATGGATATGCTGGGATTACAAAAACAAAAGTGAAATATGTTGTTATAATATGACGCTTTCTTCCTTATGTTGCCGTGATTATGCCGCCGTAATCACCTCTGTTAGCCTATTTCTGTACCTACTCTTCTGTAACCATGTACTATTAAGCAACCAACACTGAAGACAAGAAGGCGTGAGAATTAGCTAGGAACCGTATAGTCAACCTTCAACACTGTGTTAATCAAGCTTTTACTTTCAGGGTCTCAAACTTCAATGAAGGGCATGGAGACACCACACTGAAATTTCGTTTAATCTGCATTTATAATGTC